ATGTTGATTTTTTTAAGGCCATGGACATTAATAGTGTTCCCTTATTATGCCCATCGCACCCCAGCTTTTCACTGGGTTTATTTTGCACTTCATCACATATCTCTCGCTCCAGTATGTTGTTATGGCAGTGTGCAGATTTGGGACAAGGCCCTCAAGTATTTTCCATGTGGTTTGTGATCATACTTCTTAAAACTCTGAATTTGAAAGTTTTTATAATGTGGGCATCAGTGCTGTCGGTCTATAGTTCTTTGCAATTGCTTTGTGGAGTGGGGCTATATCCATTTTTTTTTTCACTTTCTGTGGGATGACCTAAGTATTCAGGCTCCCTCTACATCAGTGGTCCTCAGCCTTCCCACACAAGTGGACCACATTTGATGGTCAAATGTGTGATGAGGGCCTCACGGTTTTGTTGATACTGTGGAACCTATATAAAGGTGAATTCACAATTTCTTGTGAGGGCCGTATCCATTTCTTAGGCCACAGGTTGGGGGACCCCTGCTCTACATAGAATACTTAAATCATGTGATTGGGGCTTCTTCAACATTTATATTTCGCACCAGATCATTGTTCGTGAATATAAAGTGAAGGGTATTTTGTAGTCTTATCAGTTTTGCGTTTTGCTGGCTTAAGGTGAATATGCTATAGAGATTTTATAGATCGTTTGTGTGACACTGTTCATCCAAACTGAAATTCTCTCTGCTGTTACAGTATTTACTACACTCTTCTCTGGGAGGGGTGCCACTCTGTCCACAGGGAGTTTGCCTGACTAAGACTCCAGCATTTCTTTCGGCATAAATGGAGGCAATATTTACCCTTTCGTCTAAAATAAACGTTTATGAACGTGGATTGCAGAATATGAAAAATTGATTTTGAATAATTTTACTTGCATTGTAATTATGATTTATGTAATATGAGAGTGAATTGGTCACGGCAAAAGCAGGCTAGTGTTAATAGCGTATTTTTTATATAATATTAAAAACTAAGTATGCTTAAAGCGCTTTGAAAATATAATGGAACAACAACGGGTCTTTATCAAGTGATGACCCATCACTGGTCCTTGAAAGAGGATCAGTAATGTACACGTGAGGGTTACCGTCAATAACCCCATAACAACGTCCCAGTTATTCCATCACTGTATAGCTGGTATGACACACAGCCAGTTCCACATCTTCCTGTGATGAAAGAACAAGGTATACAGTGGAACCTCAAATTTTGAATGTATCGCTTATCAAACTCTTTGAAAATAGAACCCTTTTTTCGAACCAACTTTGTCCGTATTATCGAACTCGCCCCAATTTTCGAACCGCTGGGTACTGGACCTGTCCGGCGGCCCACTCTGTCCACGTCCCCACGCAGGCGCCGTGAGCCAGTCTGGTTTTGTTGATGCTTGAGTAAACACTAACCTGCACTCTCATTCAAACATTTTATGATTATTTCAATATGTTTAGTGCTTGTAGGACTGTGAAAGAAGCTACAATGGGCCCAAAGAAACTTGCTAGTGGTACCCCTGTGATAAAGAAAGTGAGAAACACTATAGATGTGAAGGAAATAATACAGAAGTGGAATGATGCCCAGGTGGAATGATGTCCAAATGTTTGTGGAGAAGTACCACCCTGAGCAAGCTGAAACAAGCTTTCTTTGCAACAAGTTCAGTGACAGAACCATGTCCCATTTTAGAGAAATTAAAGAGGCACCAGAAACATAGGACTGTGGACAGTTATTTTGTGAGACAGGGGTCCAGTGACTCGCAAGCTGGTCCTAGTGGCATTAAAAGACAGAGAAGGGAAGTAACCCCAGAGAGGGCTTTGATACCTGAAGTCCTCATGGAGGGGAATTCTCCTCCCAAACACTAGCCCCAACTCCCTCTCTCCTCCTCCCTATCTTCTAGATGCCATCACCAATCTTCAATAAAGGTAAGTAAAATGTTTTTTTCATGTTTATTTAAATTTATTAATACATAATTGAATACTATATTTGTTGAACATTAAAATGGTATAAAATACCGACAGGTTGTTAGGTAAGACACATATGCAACAGTTAGGTATCTTTATTTCGAAACGTTTCGCCTACACAGTAGGCTTCTTCAGTCGAGTACAGAAAAGTTGATAGAAGCAGAAGAGACTGAAGAAGCCTACTGTGTAGGCGAAAAGTTTCGAAATAAAGATACCTAACTGTTGCATATGTGTCTTACCTAACAACCTGTCGGTATTTTATACCATTTTAATGTTCAATCTGTCAGACACTGCAACACAAGGGTATCTTGGTACAGACCTGAAAACCACTTCGACAACCTCTACTAGTGAGAACGGCTGAATTTGAGAGGGACCTGACCTCCCAACATCTGCGTTCTACTAGTGACCTATGTCTCACCTCCTGGCGCTATATAAGGCTCCATCCTGTCACTTCAACTCCATATTGTTTCAGATTACGGAACAATGCTCTTCTCCAGACTGAGGGACTGACCACCTCAAAACTTTAAGGGTGATAGACTGATTACATCGTCTTCAAGTCTCTTCTGCTTCTATCAACTTTTCTGTACTCGACTGAAGAAGCCTACTGTGTAGGCGAAACGTTTCGAAATAAAGATACCTAACTGTTACTATATTTGTTGTGTGTATGTAAAACTATAATTAATCTCTATAAAGTGTATTTTTTTTTTTTTGTGAATATTTTTGGGTTTCTGGAACGGACTAATTGTATTTCCATTATTTCTTATGGGAAATATTGCTTCGTTTTTCAGACTTTTCGAATTTAGAACTAACTCCTGGAACGGATTAAGTTCGATATCTGAGGTTCCACTGTACTTTGTTTACACACCTACATTTCAATCTCATACCGTTCAGTAATGCCTACCTTACATTAAAAGAAAAGAAAGGGTAGTAGCAAACCAACCGTTGGCTTGTCCGTCGGACTCGGTGCTCTGAGTGTGAAGGGAGGTTGAGACATTCTATTGAGGTTGGGGGTAACGGACCACATGAACTTTGTAGGTGAAACTTTACTAGGCGAGGCGGACACTGCTAGACATTCTCGCTAAGTACTTCGCAAACCTAATGGAAATAAATCATACAGTTTGCCATTGTTAAGTTAACTTACATTAAATGCTAAGGTTTGTTCGGATTTTTAACCCTCTGGTTAGCCACCCAGGATGACCTAAGAAAATCATTGCGTCATCGAGGACTGTCTGTTTTATTTCCATTGGAATCCTTCAGTCTTGTCCCCCAGGATGCGACCCCACACCGGTCAGCTAATACTGCTAGGTGAACTGAGACAGCAAGTATAAGGAAACATGTACAACGGTGAGGTAGGAGCAGGGGTGGAGGTTGTTGGTTGGTTGGTGGTGAAGGTTGGATTGGAATGGAGGTTGTGAGGATGGAAGTTGTTTGGGTGGAGGATCAGATGGTTAGAAGTTGTTGGAGTGGGGGTTAGGTGGGGTGGTTTGTCGGTAGGGAAGTGAATGGGGTTTTGCAGTGGGGGGGGGGGGCGGTTGAGGATTATGCGTGCAGTTATAGGTCAGTGTGCTTCATTCCTCTCTTGTACTTCTCAGTCATCACTTACACTCGTATCTAACGTTATTCCTAATTTCCTCTCTTCCCTGAAGACCCACTTTCGTAAAAAAAAAAAAAAATCCATTTCTCCAGTGCATAAGATGGGATATTCGATGGCAATTCCCGAGTGATGATAACTCAGCTGTGCCGGAACGAAACCTTAGAAGCTCCCGTAGCTGATGAACCCTTAATGAAATACTTGACGCTATCCTTAGTGCCCTATTGAAGTCTCCTAGCTCAGGCTGACAGATTTCAACATATTTGAGTCCCATTCTGTGTGCTAGAGTATGACAGGGAAACATAGCTTTTGTTCCCACCGTGTGACAGTTATATTGAATATGATAGCACCACACTGCTGTTACATTTAAGAACATAAGAAAGAAGGAACACTGCAGCAGGCCTACTGGCCCATGCGAGGCAGGTCCAAGTCCAAGTTACATTTAGTTTTGCTAAATAAAAATAAAGTATTATAGTATATTATCTCTGCCCTTTAGCAGCAACAGTCTGGTTGACTAGGCAAACACTAGACGAGCCTGGCCCATGGCCGGGCTCAGTAGAGAAACTCACAAAACTCTTCAAAGGTATATCAAAGGTATATATGTTTATCCATCCGTTATTCCTCTCCTTGCCTTAATCTTTCTACTTTTTTCCCCTATCTCCCTGCCCTTCCCCTCTATCTCACCTGGTCCCCCTCTCTTGTCCTCCTCAGCCCATGATCCCAGGTATATATTGTTGACGCATGTTGAAGTTGTTTACTCAGGTGTAGTGGAAAGTCTCGAATCTCTCTCATTGTATGCTATCTTAATCACGTGTAGTTTACACCTGACTTTGGTTACTTGGGTATCATTGTCACTCGTGTTTTTGTTTATGCTTGTTTACATTGTTCATACATCTGCTTTGTTCCACTCTCCCATTCGGATGTTTGCTCTTAGGATAGTTATCCCTTTATAGTTAAAGGGATTACCGCCTTCACATGACACGAGCTCTGATCAGCCTTTCCAAATTGGAAAGGAAATACTACTACAGGATAAGAACAAATAAGAAACACGGAAAATCAGAACTGAGCGTGTACCGACTGTAAGTAGAAGGCTGGAAGAATTAGTCATTTAGGTGTTCTTGAGACTGATCAGCAATCCTTGCCGAGTGCAACACGTTAACAGGTTTCCAGTTCACACTTACGACATAGTATTACCTCCCTAGATGTTTGTCATCTGTCAACCTACTAGCTGACTGTGTTTTTTGTTCGTCAGGGAAGATGTCTCATGACGTAGGTCATAATCAAATGACAAACTCGCCCAGTGGCGTGTATACACTTAAACTTGAATATATTGATTCAGAAGAGATACTGAAATTAGTCATATGATACATTGAACAAATAATGGAGTGATGGAGTGGTCACCAGAGAAGCCTGGCCTTAGGACAGGCTGCGAAAGTAGAACTCTCGCGAAACCGGTCATGGGTAAGTCTTAGATATGCCTTAGAAAAGTCTACCTGGAGGGTATTCCGGGGATCAACGCCCCCGTGGCCAATAGGCCCATTATAATTTCTTGTATTCTTATGTTCTAGTACATAACCCTTGTTTCTTTGATTACAGTTGGGCCACCCTACACATTTCGCTTCAAGGTCAAGTTCTATTCGTCTGAGCCCAATTTGTTGAGAGAAGAACTAACAAGGTGAGTGACCTTCCTATCACTACCACTCAATCTTTCTCACTCAGTTCAACCTGTTTGGTTAGAAAAGGTAGTGACCTATCAGTCTGAATCTTACAGCTCTCCCAAAATTCCACTTCCTTCCCTCGCTGGGAACTTACTTGAGTGGATGCAGGAATATTTAGTGAATAGAAGGCAGAGGATAATGGTAAGAAGATGTTTGGGTGCATAAAATACATATGAACCTAATTATTTGGATACGATTACGTTAACCTAATTGTACTGTGTATTAATTTAATTTTTTTCTATGACAGTTATATGTACAAGCAGTGTTTTGGAATAGGGGGTCTAATCATTGATCCTTGGGAGAGACTACTCTTCAGTCATGCCTTCTAAGAGACCTCTCCCTCCTCTCATTCTTTGACTCATATATACTATATATTCCTGTATCCACGTAAGCACATTTTTATTGCTTGTGCTTGCTTTTCCAGCTTGAAGATCTCTCGTGTATATTCCAGTGCCTCGCTCACACCTTCAGTCTGTTGTAGTCGCGTAGATAGTCAACTTTAAAAAAAAAAATAACTGCTTCTCTGCTGATCCAGTCAAAACTTGGACCACTAATGTGGAGTATTTGATCCTATCATTTGCAAAACTACTTTTTATCTCTCAAAAATGTGCCCAAATTGTCAGTATTTATTTTTCCCCTCACTATATATACAGTAATTAGCTGCCAGCTTAGTTTTAGATGGAGAGACATTAGTTTCTTAGTGTTAAATTTGGCAGAATGCCGCTTGAAGCAGGTATTCCACCCCTCTAATCATAAATTATATTCATCATTAACAAGGCAGCCATCACCACCACCATGATCATAATTCCTGTACCATCACCACCATGGCAATATGTTCATCATTGGTAACATCACAATACCGTAACTGGAACAGTGTACATACAACTCGCACGTGTGTGACTAGTTAATGGTCCAAGTAGGATCGAAACGTCGTCATAAGTTTCAGTCTCTTATGTGCGGGCTATTTGTGTATAACATTGTGATGATTGTCGTAGTTAATTTCGTTTCCAGCTGACCGAAAAAGAGAGCACATAACATTTTTATATAATAGAGAATTAAATGTATCTTCTAACAGAAAATAAATTCTCCAACCTAAATACGAGAAAATGAGATAATACACACAGATTGTCCCCACACTCACCTACCCTCCCGCTCTTGACCCTCCACTGTTACTTGCCCTCCCACTTTTGCCCTCCACTGTTATTTGCTCTCCTGTCACTTGCCCTCCCACTCTGGCCCCTCCTGCTAGCCGCCTCTCCCCAGTATTAGTTTGCAATATGGGGGCCTGGTTAGCGGCTCATGTTTCCATGGCCACATGCATCTCATTTTCATCTGATGGCCAGACACGTACGTCCCAGGTGTGTGTGTTTAATTACCATTTTGTCAAAGGCACTTATCGATAAGACACAGCCTGTGTTAGTGTGTGTGTGTGTGTGTGTGTGTGTGTGTGTGTGTGTGTGTGTGTGTTACTCGCCTATTTGTACTCACCTATTTGTGGTTGCAGGGGTCGATTCATAGCTCCTGGCCCCGCCTCTTCACTGATTGCTACTAGGTCCTCTCTCTCCCTGCTCCATGAGCTTTATCATACCTCGCCTTAAAACTATGTATGATTCCCACCTCCACTACGTCACTTTCTAAGCTATTCCACGGCCTGACTGCTCTATGACTGAAGAAATACTTCCTAACATCCCTTTGATTCATCTGAGTCTTCAACTTCCAATTGTGACCTCTTGTTTCTGTGTCCCATCTCTGGAACATCCCGTCTTTGTCCACCTTGTCTATTCCGCGCAGTATTTTATATGTCGTTATCATGTCTCCCCTGACCCTCCTGTCCTCCAGTGTCGTCAGGCCGATTTCCCTCAACCTTTCTTCGTAGGACAATCCCCTTAGCTCTGGGACTAGTCTTGTTGCAAACCTTTGCAATGTGCATTGTGTGTGTGTGTGTGTGTATACTCACCTATTTGTGGTTGCAGGGGTCGAATCATAGCTTCTGCCCCCCCCCCCTCTATTTGTGTGTGTGTGTGTGTGTTTGTTTGAGGGAGGGGGAGAGGATGGTGTTAGGCTTGTGAGGGAGAGTACTCTGCATCTCCAATTACAAGTGTGATGTCATGGTAATGATTCATACATGTTGTAATGAGGTTCGTGTAAGGTTACAGTGAGGTTTGTGTTGCAGGTACCAGTTCTTCTTGCAGCTGAAGCAAGACATTCTCTCGGGCAAGCTGGAGGTGCCCTACCAGCAAGCTGTCGAGCTCTTTGCACTCAGCCTTCAATGTGAGTCAACGTAACCTGGCCTTCTTACCCTTTTTCCTTTCATCACTATTACCACCTCTACCACCACCACCGCTCCTACCACCATCATCACCGCTCCTGCCACCATCATCACCGCTCCTGCCACCACCGCCCCTGCCACCACCGCCCCTGCCACCACCACCACTCCTACCACCACTACCGCTCCTACCACCACTACCGCTCCTACCACCACCACCGCTCCTACCACCACCACCACTGCTGCTACCACCATCACCTCCACTGCTACCACCTTCACCTCCACCACCATTGCTATCACTACCACTGCCGCCACCATCATTACCACTGCTGCCACCATCACTACCACTGCTGCTACCACCACCACCACCTCCACTTCCATTGCTGTCACCAACACTCCTCCCATCACCATTGTGATTGCCATCATGACTACCACCACCACCAATAACAACAACCAGTTTCACGTTCTGCCTTATACTACACATCATTTTATCTCTTCTCACATCTGTAAACTCTTTTATAGGTTTTAAAATAGAATGATTATTATTATTTTATTATTATTATTATTATTATTATTAAAAAAGTGCTATGTCCATGTAGGTCATGCAGTGCTTCAGTGTGAGAGGTACAAAGTTTAATGGAGTTGGTAAACTTCTGTGATTTTTTTGTTTTGTATTATTTATAATCATTACTAGTACATAAATGTTAATATTGGCCCTTGTTAGTTTTATATTTGTGTTCTACCTACTACACAATTTTATTTGTTATCAATATTCTTATAAAATGCTGTTTTTTGTTTAGTTGTGCTCAGTATGCTGTGTATCTCATGAGCCTTTCAGAGAACAACAATTAAACCCCATAGTTTACATTTAATGTATTCAGTTTTTCTTGCTCCCCATTCTGTTTGCTTGCTGCACAATTCCTATCCAAGATTCCCATTTTCACATCATTTCTGCAAACCTAACCCCACAAATTACAGGGTTCACCTGCATGTTTACTAATGTTAATCCTTGCAAATAACTACCTGATCGATGTAATAAAGTATTCTTTAAAAATAAGTTATGTATCATTTATTATCTCAATCATTATTTTTTTATAGCTGAACTTGGCGACTATGATCCTGACATTCATACTCCAGGCTTTGTGTCTGAGTTCCACTTTAACCCCCTCCAGACAGATGCCATGGAAGAGGACACTTTGGAAAAATTTAAGGAGTGCGCGTAAGTCATTTGTGTCATCAGTCATTCTTAAAAACTTTTTTGTACATTCGAGAAATTTCTTGGATAGTGAAGTTAACATTCCAAAATATAGTATGATCAAATGTTTTAGCATGGATGGAAAGAGTAGGGGAGGGAACGTGGGTACACTGCTTTCACCTACTTATCAATTTCCAACTCTGTGTGTTTAATTTCTGTACTAATGGAGATATTTATTAGTTGTACTTCGTCGTGTTTTTCTGCAAATCTGCTATGATTTTGTGTTCTCCATAATAATTATTGACAGCTCTGTACTAATGTATATAACTAGGGGAGGGGGTTTGGAAAAACTTAATATTAACCTTAGAATTTTTTGTTTTTAATAAAATTGCAGTACTACAGTACATGTCAAAATATCCATTTCACATATCCTCAGTGTTTCTTAAATTGGTCAAGTTTTAAATTTTTTCTTAGCTTACAGCATCCCCTCCCCTTCCTCAGCTCCTAGCTATAACGGCTTGTGACTCGTATGCCTTAAATAGGACCGAGCTTTTACTGTAAAGGAGCTGATATAGGCTAACAGCTCTTTATTAATTCTGTAAAAAAAAAAAAAGTCTTGTAAGTTACTGGGTATATTTGGAAAATTCTTTAATGTACACATTACTGTAGTTACTGACCTGGACCTGACTAGGTTGGGTCAGTGTCATAAGCCGGTAGGCGACTTGGACCTGCCTCGCATGGGCCAATAGGCCTGCTGCCGCATTCCTTCTTTCTTATGTTCTTCTGAAGCAAAAACAGTGAGGAGAATAAATCCAATAAAAGCAGTGATGCCATAACCACAGAGAACGCTGCAAATATGCAAAGGCATAGTTTGTTTTATTTCTGCCAGCAGATGTAAAAAAAATTGCCAGAGCAAAAATAGAAGTGCTAATCAGGAAATTTGACAAGTTCTTACTGGGTGTGCCAAATCAACATGGTTCTAAACATACTGTAGAATGTGGGTCTTTGGGTCATTGACAGCAAAGCTTGGCTGGTAAAACAAGTCAGTCACTAGGGAAGTAGAACTGGTGGAATGGGTCACAGGGATGTCATATTTCTGACATGTAGACATTGCTGATTCTGATGGATATCAGAGGTGGTAGGATAGAGTTTTGTGAGAGGTCCTGAGTTCTGGCAAGAATGCAGGGAAGAAGCAAAGTATTAGAGCAGGATATCCAGGTACAGTACATACATGCACTATTGGTGGTGAACTGTTTTATTATATTTCTCTGATATACCCAGTTTATAGTGAATTTTTTAATTTGCCTTTTAGATTTAGGGTAGAATTCTTTTCATGTATGGTCATACTATACCTATGCAGTACTGTATAGTATAGTATTAGAAAATTCAAGAAATCTTATAATTATTTTTGCTAACTTGTGCTGTATAAATTTCTAGAATTTTTTGCATATAACACTTTTTTTCAATAGGGGATTGACACCAGCCCAGGCAGAGCAGAGTTACTTGAATAAAGCCAAGTGGCTGGAGATGTATGGGGTTGATATGCACACAGTGCTGGTGAGTTGTTTGCTTTTTATTTTATCAATATCTCTGAGCTTGTTGGTACCTGGGACTTGTCAGGATTAACAAGCCCACACTTTGGATAGGAAACTTTTTAGACAATGCTTTGATCTGTCCTGTACCATTTTGTCATAAAAGTCCAGGAGAGAGACATGCCATCTAAAGTTTCCTCTCCAAAGTGTTTATACACAATGTCTAGCACTGTTATGTCTTACTGTCAATATCATGTATCCCTCTCATGCTAAAGTGAAATGGTCTTCTTTGAAATTGGCCTCTTAACAATTTTAATTTCAAGTGCATATACAGGTAAGATTTGAACCCATGGTGAGCTGGTCCCAGAATTAGTAAGATGGTGCACTTTGTATATGTAACTTGATGTTAAAATTTTGTCAGTATGGAGTAGGACATTACAACTTCAGATAATTTGTAATACTGTGTGTACATTCATGAGAGCAACTAAAATTTTAGCCCAGAATGTTAAAAACAGTGTGGTACAGCATTGATTATTGTAGGAATACACCTTGAGAATGAAGTATCCTGAACTATAATGTAATGTTTATTGAAGTTTCTCATAAGTCCAAACATGTGAAGTGTTTGGAAATGTTGCTTAGTTCATCATAGGTAACAAGCAGAGTTTGGTACGTACAGCCAGAGAAGTTTTATCCACATTCACTAATGGAGTTCTTAACTTTGGCAGGGAAAGGATGGTCAAGGGTACAGACTAGGACTCACTCCCACTGGTATTTTGGTCTTTGAGGATGACACCAAGATTGGACTCTTTTTCTGGCCCAAGATTACTCGACTAGATTTCAAGAAGAAGAAACTAACACTAATGGTGGTGGAGGATGATGATGAGGGACGGGAGCAAGAGCACACTTTTGTCTTTAGGTGAGGTCTGTTTGAAAATGTATAGATTAGTAGTAGTGTTTTTCCTCCAGACTCTTTGAGGTTGACTAAAGCTTTGATGTTGCCCAATATCGCATCAGATTAAGCAATATTCACTGTGATTGCACTTAACAAAGCAGCATTTACCCTAACCTATATACAGGAGGGCCCTGCTTATACAACAGGTTAGGTTCCAGGCTACTACTGCCAAGCCTAAATCACTGTAAAGTGAAACATAGCCTTTTTTTTTTAATTTCAGATGCATATAAAAGCCAGATAACATGTTGACACCATTATATATTAAGTGAGCAATAGAGCTAGGCCTAAAAATGCAGTTTAGAGGGATATGTTGTGTATCTTTATATGTATATGCTTCTAACTGTTGTATTCTGAGCACCTCTACAAAAACAGTGTGATTATATATATATATATATATATATATATATATATATATATATATATATATATATATATATATATATATATATATATATATATATATATATATATATATATATATATATATATATATATAATTTTTTTTTTTTTTTTTTTTTTTTTTTTTTTTTTTTTTTTTTTTTTTTTTTTTTTTTTTTTTTCAACAAGTCGGCCGTCTCCCACCGAGGCAGGGTGACCCAAAAAAGAAAGAAAATCCCCAAAAAGAAATACTTTCATCATCATTCAACACTTTCACCACACTCGCACATTATCACTGTTTTTTGCAGAGGTGCTCAGAATACAACAGTCTAGAAGCTTAAACATATAAAGATACACAACATATCCCTCCAAACTGCCAATATCCCAAACCCCTCCTTTAAAGTGCAGGCATTGTACTTCCCATTTCCAGGACTCAAGTCCGACTATATGAAAATAACCGGTTTCCCCTGAATCCCTTCACTAAATATTACCCTGCTCACACTCCAACAGATCGTCAGGTCCCAAGTACCATTCGTCTCCATTCACTCCTATCTAACACGCTCACGCACGCTTGCTGGAAGTCCAAGCCCCTTACCCACAAAACCTCCTTTACCCCCTCTCTCCAACCCTTTCGAGACGACCCCTACCCGCCTTCCTTCCCCTATAGATTTATATGCTTTCCATGTCATTCTACTGTGATCCATTCTCTCTAAATGACCAAACCACCTCAACAACCCCTCTTCTGCCCTCTGACTAATACTTTTATTAACTCCACACCTTCTCCTAATTTCCACACTCCGAATTTTTCTGCATAATATTTACACCACACATTGCCCTTAAACAGGACATCTCCGCTGCCTCCAACCGTCTCCTCGCTGCTGCATTTACCACCCAAGCTTCACACCCATATAAGAGTGTTGGTACTACTATACTTTCATACATTCCCTTCTTTGCCTCCATAGATAACGTTTTTTGACTCCACATATACCTCAACGCACCACTCACCTTTTTTCCCTCATCAATTCTATGATTAACCTCATCCTTCATAAATCCATCCGCCGACACGTCAACTCCCAAGTATCTGAAAACATTCACTTCTTCCATACTCCTCCTCCCCAATTTGATATCCAATTTTTCTTTATCTAAATCATTTGACACCCTCATCACCTTACTCTTTTCTATGTTCACTTTCAACTTTCTACCTTACACACATTCCCAAACTCATCCACTAACCTTTGCAATTTTTCTTTAGAATCTCCCATAAGCACAGTATCATCAGCAAAAAGTAACTGTGTCAATTCCCATTTGAATTTGATTCCCCATAATTTAATCCCACCCCTCTCCCAAACACCCTAGCATTTTACTTCCTTTACAACCCCATCTATAAATATATTAAACAACCATGGTGACATTACACATCCCTGTTTAAGACCTACTTTTACCGGAAGTAGTCTCCCTCTCTTCTACACACCCTAACCTGAGCCTCACTATCCTCATAAAAACTCTTTACAGCATTTAATAACTTACCACCTATTCCATATACTTGCAACATCTGCCACATTGCTCCTCTATCCACTCTATCATATGCCTTTTCTAAATCCATAAATGCAATAAAAACTTCCCTATCTTTATCTAAATACTGTTCACATATATGCTTCAATGTAAACACCTGATCTACACATCCCCTACCCACTCTAAAACCTCCTTGCTCATCCGCAATCCTACATTCTGTCTTACCTCTAATTCTTTCAATTATAACCCTACCGTACACTTTTCCTGGTATACTCAGTAAGCTTATTCCTCTATAATTTTTACAGTCTCTTTTGTCCCCTTTCCCTTTATATAAAGGGACTATACATGCTCTCTGCCAATCCCTAGGTACCTTCCCCTCTTTCATACATTTATTAAACAAAAGTACCAACCACTCCAACACTATATCCCCCCCTGCTTTTAACATTTCTGTCATGATCCCATCAGTTTCCAGCTGCTTTACCCCTTTCATTTTACGTAATGCCTCACGTACAATCCCCACACTTACATTCTGCTCTTCTTACTCCTAAAGTATGGATATACCTCCTGACCTGTTGCATGAAAATTACTGTCTGTTTCTTCCTTAACATTTTAAAAGTTTCCTCAAATATTCTCTGCCATCTACCTTATACCTCCATCTCCCCATATACTAACTCCCCCTACTCTGTTTTTAACTGAAAAATCCATATTTTCCCTGGCTTTCTTAACTTGTTAAATCACTCCACATTTTTTTTCTTATTTTAATTATAAATTTCTTGACAGTGCCTTCCCACTCTATCATCTGCTCTCCTTTTGACTCTCTCACCAATCTCTTTACCTTTCTTTTACTCTTCCATATACTTCCTGACTCTTTCTTTTAACACTTCTGCTTGTAAAAACCTCTCATAAGGCTTACCTTTTTCTCTTTTATCACACCCTTTATTCATCATTCCCACCATCACTCCTCTTTCCTCCTGCCCCCACCCTCTATAACCACAAACTTCTGCCCCACATTCTATACTGCATTTTTAAAAACTATTCCAACCTCTTCAACCCCCCCCACCACTACTCATCTTTGCACTAGCCACATTTCTGCCTATAGTTGCTTATATCTCGCCCGAACTTCTCTCCCTTAGTTTATACACTTTCACCTCCCTCTTACTTGTTGTTGCCCCTTCCTCTTTTCCCATTACCTCTTTACTCTAACTTGTAGCTACAAACTAAATAATGATTCCGGACATATCAGTTGCCCTCTATAAATATGTACATCCTGGAGCCTACCCTTCACCTTTTTATCCACCATATACATAATCTAATAAACTACTTTAATTATGTGGAAATCATACCTTGTTATTTATTTATCCTCTTTTTCATAAAATATGTAATTACTTATTACCAAATTTCTTTCTACAATAGCTCAATTAAAGGCTCCCCATTTACATTTACCCCTGGGCACCCCAATTTACCTACTACTCCCTCCATAACATTTTTACCCCTTTAGCATTAAAATCCCCCAAACACCATTACTCTCACACTTGAATTCAAAACACCCACGCAATTTCACTCAACCATTTCCCAAAAATCTATCTCTTCTCTCTACAATTCTCTCTTCTCAGGTGCATACCCGCTTATTATAACCTAACTTTTCACATCCAATCTTTATTTTCCTCACATAATCTTGAATTAATACATTTATAGTCCCTCTTTCCGGCCATAGCTTATCCTTACCATTATTGCTACTCCTTCTTAGCTCTAAACTCTATTTTGAAACACCTGACAAATCCCATTTATTCTCTCTCATGAAACTCTCCCACCCCCTTCAGCTTTGTTTCACTTAAAGCCAGGGACATCCAGCTTCTCATTCATACATCCACAATCATCTCTTTCTTATCCTCTGCACAAACATCACGACATTCAGACTTCCCACTTTGACAATTTTTCTTTCGTCTTATTCTTTTAGTAATCTTTCAGGATAAAGGGTTCTAGCCATTGTTTCCGGCATTTTAGTGACTTTTCCAACACGCTTGGCTTACGGAGAAAGATTCTTATTCCACTTCCCCATGGATATAAAGGATAATAATAAGGACCAAGAACTATTAAGATAAAATCAAAGAAAACTCAGATGAGGTGTATAATTAATGTGTACAGGTATGTGTAGTGTGACCTAAAAGTGTAAGTAGGAAAAGTAGAGACATGCCTGTAATCTTGCATATTTATGAGACAGACAAAGACAGCAGGCATCCTACCATCATTGTAAAACAATCACAGGCTTCGTTTTACACTCACTTGGACAGGACGGTTGTACTCCATGGGTGGTTGCTGTCTACCAACCTCCTACTGACTATATATATATATATTCTTCTTCTTTCAACACACCGGCCGTATCCACCGATGCGGGGTGGCCAAAAGAAAAACTGAAAGTTTCTCTTTTACATTTAGTAATTTTACAGGAGAAGAGAGGTTACTAGCCCCTTGCTCCGGCATTTTAGTTGCCTCTTACAAACACGCCATGGCTTATGAGAAAGAAATTTGTTCCACTTCCCCCCCATTGGAGATATAGAGGAAATTAAACTAGTAAGAAACTAGAAAGAAAATAGAAGAAAAACCCAGGGGGTGTTATATATGTGCTTGGTACATGTAGTGTAGTGTGAAATAAGTGTAAGTAGAAGTGCAAGACCGTAACCTGAATCTTGCATGTTCTTGAGACCGATAAAAGGACACCAGCAATTCTACCATCATGTAAACAATTCACAGGCTTCGTTTTACATCACTTGGCAGACGGTTAGTACCTCCTGGGTGGTTGCTGTCTACCAACCTACTACTGAATATATATATATTATATATATTTATTTATATTTATATATATATATGATATAATATTATATATATTATTTATATATTTATTTATATATTTATTATTATTTTTATTATAACACTGGACGATTCCCACCAAGGAAGGGTGGCCCAAAAAAGAAAAACTTTCACATCTTTCACTCCATCACTGTTTTGCAGAAGGGTTGCTTTACACTTACAGTTCTTAAACTGCAAACATTAAACACCCTTTCCTTCAGAGTGCA